TATCGAATCAGAGAAGGATGATAGTAAATATCTGATATCTGGTCATCTAGTTCGTTTAGCGGTATATATGACTAAATATCTGATATCTGATATTGTGAATCAATTTGAGAAGAATGGTGTTGCTTTTCCTATAACATCAGAAATTTTCCAACAGCTCAACATTACTAAATAGTTAATTAGAATTTCAAGTTTTGAAAATTTTAACAGTTTGAAATTTTGACACTCAGTTCTTCAAACTGGTAACAGTTTGAGATTTGCCACTCCATGTTACTTTTTATGCTCATTGAATATGAATCTAATTGAAAATGAATGAAATAGTTCAAAAATCTGTATCACTATGAAGATATTAAAGAAAATTACATATCTATTCGAATTATTAAGCACAATCGATAATATTCATATTGAAAATATAAACAAAGTAGAAATCATTTTATTTTATTAATGGATTTCCTTAAGTTTACAAACATTAATGTTTTGATTTTATTTTATTTTTGTAATACAACAATGATTTCATGTGCTAATTCAATGATAATTCAGTCAAAATGCTGAGTTTCGATATAGTATTGAAAGACACCAAACATACATTCAAAAACATTTGTCATACTCTCTAAATATATGAATAAATATAACCTGAATATGTTTTTCTTAATAAAAACTTGATACCTTTTTAATAAACTCATCAATTATGAATCAGCTTTTGATATAATATCTGAAAATATGAGTTGCTAATTTTTATGACTTGTTTTTCTTGAATTTTACTTAATCTAATCGTAAATCATTGAATAACATTTGATTATGTTCTTTGCTAGATTGAATGTATTTTAATGAGATTTTTTAACTGTCATCTTCATCATAATAATATATTGCGAATAAAAATCATTCAATTTAAATAATTTTTTGATTGCTGAAGCTCTCGATGACAATAGATATCTTTTCGAACATACTAGCCTTTTCATTCGTACAATCTCACTGTTGATGGTGCTACTGATCTAGAGTTTATCAGGAAATGGTATACACACAAATGATTAGTTCTTCAACACTTTCAATGATTGACCTCCAAAGAAATATATTTTTGTTTATCTAATTCACATAATAAATGTAAAAGAAAATTTCAATAATGTAAATCTCTTTACACAAGCATGAAATATATATGTATTCATTATCAATAAAACATCTTGTACAATGACGCATTGAATTCATCTCTTTTGGATGTTTGTCTGCCATCATAGTCAAATGAAAATGTTAAAAAAAAGAAAAGAAACAAGCGTACTTGTCGTTGATAATTAAATAGAACAACAAAATGTGTGATACCAAATAGAATGCTCTACGTTCATATACATACAAGCGAACAAAAGAAGCGATAAATTAACTAGTAGAGATAAAAGAAGAAAGAAGAAACATGATAAATCAGCCGGTTAGCAAAAAAACAACCAAAATCACAAATTTCTTTTGTTCAGTAATGTTCACTCCATACCCGCTGGTGCATCACCTAGAAGAGAAAAATTTTAATTAAAAAAAAAAAAAGAGTTTTTTATTATTATGTACCAGTTGCATTGGGACCACGTCGAAAATTTTTCTTAACTTCAGGTCGAGCTAATTGAAGACGTTTTAGAAATTCATTAGTTTTATGACGCATATGTGCATGTAAATATGCCTGAAAAGATTTATCTGTTGAAATAATATCTTATGAGAAAAATGATTTAAACATACTTTACAACATTTAATATGATAATGAAAATAATTGCGAAGTGTATGAATAAGATTAATTGTATTATCACGTGCTGCTGCCTTTGTATGACGTGGGAAAAGAACTAAAAAAAAATATTTTATTGATATTAAAATATTTTTTTGCAATTTAAAAGAAAAATGACATACCAAAAGTTAAATAACCAATATTATCACCTACACGAGCATCATGCATATCCTTTAATTCTTCTGGTGGTGTACGATAACTAACAATAACTTGAGGTGCTTGTTGAAATTGTCTTCGTCGTTCTTTAAATTCCTAAACATCAATAAATGTCTATATATATATATATATAATAAATATTTTAAAAATTTTCTTACTTCCATAAAAACACGACCAATAACATTATCATCTGGATCTTTAAATACAGTTGAAAAAATAACAATAACACGATCAGATGATGCATCAACATACATTGTTTCATCATCACGATAATGTATAACAGCTCGTTTATGACTAATACTTGTTGATTCTTGTTTCGCTTGATATTCAAAATATTTTTCAAAAACAGCCGCAAAACAATTTCGTTTAAGCATTGCAATTTTACGAACAAGTGGTGCCCATACATCATTACTATCACCTTTAGGTAATTGTGTATTAAAATCTAATGATAATGTTACATTATAACCTTCTAAAGGTGCTACAAGCAGATCACCATATTCTCGACGAAGAACCTAAATTGATAAAATTAATTATTATTATTATTATGAACAAGTATTATATTATACAACTAACTTCATCTGTACCATATTGTTCTAAATCACGAAAAAATTTTAATTTAATGCTAACAGTAAATGGTTTGTCACGTGAACTTGTTACACGATAAAGTGCACCATCAAAATCTTAAATTATTTAAGAATTCTTATTGTTTTTTGTTTTACTTCAAGATTTAATATCACTTACCAACAACATCAGTTTTAAGTTCGACTAATTTTTCTTTACGTAAAAATGCTTCAATTTGAAGTGTTAATAATTCTTCAATTATACGATTATGTACTTCAAGTAAAATCATTATTGAATGGAATTATTATTGACACAATAACAACAAGAACAAATGGAAATTATTTGACTAAAACGGGGTATCTAAAATATGACAATATTCATTTGATTTATGTTTTTAGAATATATAATTGTCTAAATTTTTGAAAACTTACAAATGTTTTATTGACAAATTTGTACTAATGATTACTGCGAAGCTCGTCGAATAGAACTGGATCAGTCAGTTGAAAGAAAATAATAATTCTATTGGACAATGCGTTCAGCAATAGATATTGTAGTGTTTGTAAATCACCAGTATAGAGGAATACAATAAAGAATAGGTTTAAAACATGGCCACCTTAGTGATGATATTATGAAAATATATCTTCTTATTGAATTGTTTCTCTAATAATGAATAATTAAAATTCTGACTTAATTATGTTGGTATTACTAATACTATAATATAATATACATGAATTTTTGTGGAAGTCAAATGGACTCTTTAAAGATGTGAACATCATTTTCTTGAACAACTGAACCAGCTGCATCGACTGATGGCATTTACAAATTAGCATAAATTTTTCTAGTGTTGACTTGTCAATTATACAAGAACATAAATGACTTTAAAGACTAAAACTTTGGTTTTTGTTATTGTTTAATACTTAACTAAAACTAAAACAAAATTGAAAAGATATAATTGATTAATATGTTATATTCTAGAACTATTGAATAAGATTTCTATGATAAATATAATAGTACATATAAAAATAATCCATCTTGTTTTTTTTCATATCCTTAGTATTTAATTAAAATATCTGTTCAATCAAAACCTTACATAAATCTCAGTGATTTGAAATTATTTTGTCATTTAATATGGGGATTAGTCGATTCTTCTAAATCATCTTTGACATATATATAGTGGTGATGATGATCATCATTCACATAACTAGATTTCAGTTCACTTCATTTCTCTTTTACAAAAACGTGCAATATAGTAAATTACACTACTGGTCATAAGCCCCTGGATGTGCGATACTCCCTCAGAACTTCAATAATTTTCCACGAAATTTTTACCAGAGATAGAGCTTAAAAAACTGTGATCGCAAGCACCAACCCGAGCTCTATCGACCGATATAATATAGAGTTATGATTCAAACATTAGTCTCACCTCTGTTTACTTATTAACCAACGTTCACGGTTTTTATGAAAAACATTCGAGATACTAGAGGTCTTGTTTAATCTTTAGGTTGTTTCGTTAGTTGTTACAGGAATACGCAGTGGGCATTTATTGCTCAATAAAGGCATCTCTGGAGAATAGTAGACTAATATTAACGAGCTAAGAAACAACTTAGAGATTAAACAAGTCTTCTAGCATCGCGATTGTTTTTCCATAAAAACTGTGAATATTGATTTACAAGTAAACAGACGTGAAACTAATGTTTGAGTCATAACTCCATACTATATCAGTCGATAGAGCTCGGGTTGGTGCTTGCGATCACAGTTTTTTAAGCTCTATCTCTGGTAAAAATTTCGTGGAAAATTGTTGAAGTTATGAGGAAGTATCACACATCCAGGGACTTATGGCCAGTAGTGTATATATGTAATATGACATATTGGATTTAGTACTTCCCTAAAAGCTAGCCGAAACTAGCTTCTATTATAATCTCTCAGATGACTCTTTGAATGAACGACAAAATTCCATTATTTATACAATCGCAAAAGTAGAATGGCTATAGTGAAATACGTCCATACTGTTTTAGTAGATCTCTAAGAAGTGTGATATCACTTCTGCTCATGTTATTTTGTTCAGAAGTCAAATAAGACATTAAATATGATAGTCTGATCATGGCATCATCGTCATCTATGATGTCTGTAGTATGTTAGATAATTGTCTGCAGACTATTAACTTCGTCACATTAGTAGTCATAGGATTTATTGAGATCTTACCTTTTTTTTATTTGAAAAGATATTCATGTAAATGCTGCCAATCAATATCAATTGGAAATAATAGTTATATTTTATTTTCTCGTTCATTGAAATGATACATATATAGGGAAAGCACTGAGAATTGTACAAAAATTAAGAAATAATGAACTGGTAGAGTTGCATACCAACTCAAACAGTTAACATACGACAAAATGAACTCAAATAACGAGAAACAATCATTTCTTTCGTTGTCTAATATAATAAACAGAAAACAACGATAACAACGACGACTCAGATTGATGATATGCTTTATTACTTCAGAAGCTCTGTCAATTATTATTCACAGCATACTATATTGCTTATCGCCAGATTTTTGTAGATGTATAGTAAACAAGAAAAATATAAAAATTATTCCAGACACTTGATTTGACTTGATCATCTCTGTTTGATTCAGTGAACCTTCTTAATAGATGCATATCAGACGTGATTAAAATTCTTTTATTTAACGCTTTCTTTTCAATGTCATGTAAATTTGGTAGCATTTACATGAATATCTCTTCAAAGAAAAAGAGATAAGATCTCAATAGTTTGGGTTGTTTATTTCGACCCATCTTTTATAATTTTTAAAATCATCGTGTTTGTAACTTGTAAAAATTGTTTATGATGCATTCTCAGTAGGACCATTTCATATCTTGAAATTCTCTAAAACGATGCATTGAGATGTTGACTTTCAGGTAAAAATATAGTCTAAAACTAGGACTATCGAATGCGCTTCAGAGCACTTCTGATTCTCTCACTATCTATATGTAAATGAACTTTGTTTCACATTATGTATGTTATCAAATTGAAGCACTGATTGGGCATAATCATATGATTAATATATTTTTGTCTTTTATATGATTGGCGTTGGATTCAGTATTCAAAATGTCCTAAAGGCTAAATCAGGTTCTTATACAGCCATGTCTTTTCTAATCATAGACAATGTAAAACCTGCTTTTGCTACGTACCGGTCGAGTACATATTATCCTCTTCGTCATGGTCAGATAAAGGAGTATCTTGATGTGAGCAACTTCGTTGACTGCATTGTGGTACTGTTCGTTGATATTCTGAAAAAAAAATGAAGAGCTTATCAAATACAAATTATAGTAAGAAGCAAAAGGAACGAACCTTGAAGTCGTTGTGTAGCTTCATTACAATTTATTTTCTTGAATGCTTCAATAAGGTAAACGCAATTGTGCTCGCTAATTATTGCCTTTTTGAAAAGAGAGTCCAGTACGCGAAGTGTTGTCTTAAGTGAAGGATCATGGCGCAAATGTTGCGGAACGTTTTCACCCATGATAGAATAGAGACGATATCGATCGTCATCAGATAGAAGATCTTGTATTTCTATCAACAGTGCTCGCAATTTAAATTCTCCACTCATTTTATAAAGACAAATTACTATCTATAACAGAGTAATAGAACATCAGTTGATATATAATAGGTTCATAGGAATAATGTGCTGTTAGTATTTTAAACATGTCTCGTTTATTTTATGTGAAATCGACATATTTCTTAATCAAAAGATAGCCTTTGATAGATAGCAACGTCCTGCTGAGAAGTTCAGTTGTTTTCTAACAAATTTTTGTTACATTTAAGACCTACTGGAAGAACTTCTTTGATGTATCTTTATACATCCATCTTTTCGTCTTTCAAAATCCCCGATCCTGTTAAACCTTGAACATATAGACCTGGCCACACCATTACATTTTGTAAACTTTTTGCATTGTAAGGTAAAGCATATTTCTTGTCAGCCTCTTCCTTGTTGACAATTCACACCCGACCGTTCTAAATGTTCTATACCCCATCCAATGAGAATACTTTTCGTCGGTAAAAAGTCATTCTTTGGCATCATTTTTGGTATAATAATTTAACATCCAATTTTTCAAACTTAATCATCTTCTTTTTTTCAAGAGTAGCTAGTTTTGGTTGCTTAATTTGCTTGTACGGGAAATAATTAAAATCTTTATGTAGTGTTCGCTGTACGATTGCTCTTGAAATATACATTTCAGCGGTCATTTTTCTTCTCGACGCTTGTTTCTTCGGAGCTAGTCGCCATTTTACTTTTCAGATGTTGGCTTTTATCAGAAGTGTGCGTAGACAACCGAAAGGTTCAGACAAATTGATAGAGTCAGTGTTGTTGATAATTTTTATTCCCAAATTTATTGTTCGCTTTGAAACCATTATAGCTAAGTCACGATAAATTTTTGCTGGTTCATTATCATTTTCATATTTATTTTTTATATTTTTTTGTGGATATCTTTACTGTTTATCTTGTTTTTGGAATATTTCTAAACCTATGTTTGGTTCCAAACATGTAGAATTTTGTACAGAATTTCAAGCGCTATCTTTTGATTAACAAAGATGTATCGATCAGATGTAAAAGGCGAAAGAAATTTTGAAAATACTGGCAGCGCAATTATTCCTGGGTTATCCGGTATTTTCTCTGAAACCGATCAATCAGTCATGTCTAGAATGTGTACAACTTGCATAAGACGATACCACATAATGTAGAAGAAGAAAAAAGTACGAGAATGGATAATACGATGTTTTTTCTCGTGTTGTGGAAGAAACAAAACAGGAGATGGATAATATAGTGGAAGGCAAAGAAAAAGCGGCGAAGTAATGAGAACACGACTAACTAGATTGATTTAACTCAACACTAGTTATATACTAGTGTATGAGCTTCACTGATTCTTTATATTCATGGATCTTCATGTTGTCAAGCTCCGTTGTGCTTGCATCTGTTCAAAAAGTATCTCCTCTCATTTGCTTTTCGACTGAAGGGTTGAATTTGAGTTGTGTACTGCGAATATAAGTTTGCTGCTATGCTCGCCTTCTCCCTTTTTCTATTCTGATTTTCTCCTCGATGGCGGATATCAAAGAAAATCTACCGAGATATAACTGACGAACCTGACATGAATAGAAGGAAGAAAAACAAACCATCGCAAAAGTAATGAAATATAATACGAAACTTGTTTGGTTTTATAACATCCCCTTATCTATAACAAATGAATAGACCATTCTCTTATTGGTCATCCGACGGCAGAGAGAGAGATTTCACAGAGAACAGAAACGAGAGTGTAACGATTGTTAATAGAAGAAGTATTAGTGTTATCTGGAACCATGCGTTATTCTTTTATCGTTTTATACTAAAAAATAATCTTTTACACGAAAAAATATGCGTTTATATACGCAGTCCAGAAAGAGACAAAAAAGGAGGAAGGGAGGAAAGAAAGAAGAAGACGATAAGAATAACAGGAAGGATACTTATGAAAGAGGATAGATGTACCGGTGTTACCACAACAAGAAATAAGTTATGTTGCTAATCATACATAGTCACAAAAAAGGAAAGGTTAACATAGCATGTATGCAAAAAAAAAATTCAACCAAGACGTAAGAATAGATAATGACACAGAGTAAATTCAACCGACAAGGTCACAGAGCGTCCTACAAAAAAATCTCTTGACCAGCAACAACTAGACAGCAGGAAAAAAACCCGAATGAGATAAGCTAAAGTGAATGTCATCACTTGAGACATTGAAAACAAGCCGGATCAATTCTATACAAATCAAACTCATGGGGCAATCAAGAAATGGGTTTTTATTGAAGAGTAAAATGTAAAGAGCTGATATATGAAATGGTGATAAAAGCACCATATGGTTAACTAGGTAGAAATATCAAAAGAGAAAATTTGGATGAAGATCTTTCTGAATGTCACGTAAAGTGTTGCTTGTCGATGAAAAATCCGATACTGTGTAGTTATTTAACGATAGTTTGTGTTCCTAGGGATCAGAAACCCGTAGCAGCCTACCACAAAAAAGTCGCACAAGAATATTTCGCAAGCTCAAAGCGGTCGAAAGTCTATTTAAAGAATCGTAAAATGAATTTGCGTTTCTCGAAGAAGAGAACTCCAAGAAACACTGACACCCTTACTCATACCAGTTTCTAATTTTACAATCTACAATTTAAAAATCGAAGATTTTTTTCTCGATCAGTTTCTTTGTTAGTGTGCATATTCATAGTGGTCGTATTCTATCTGCGACTTGACTAACGTAAGACGTTACAAAAAAAAGGAAGAACAGAATGAATCATTTATAGATTAATATTGCACAACAAGCAAATCGTTTTCGTATAAGATTCATTTTTGACGACATGACTCTCAACAGAGCACTATGAATATAAGAAGTTAGTAAGCTTGTTTTTTTTCATATTATCAGGTAAATGAAAAATCGTTCGAAATCTTTCATTCCTTCTGTTACAGCAAAAGACAAAACATAATGCCATTTAAATTCTCATCCAACGAAATATTAATGCAATGGTTGGAATTTCTCAACAAATTTAAGATTTTTCATTCATTTGACCAACTAAATTATCGAGTTTAGAAACTCATTCAAAATATGCCATTACATCTCAAATTTGAATGTGTTCACAAGTCGACACTTGATCAATTTTTAGTTATCATGATTAAAAGTAGCGCAAAGAAGACTATTTTCTTTCTCATACAGAAAATATTCTCTAGAAAGTTCACTTGTTTTTACGCTTGAGAAGTCATCCATGCCGATATAAATAGGAAAATGTGAAATCAATAGTCTATTTTGTGAAATGGTTCCCAATATACATGTTTCCACCATTCTGAGGAAGGCAAACCGGCCGGATCATCGTAAGTAATGCGTATCATGAGACCGTAGCAAATGAGATCGTGTCGACTGACTGGTTTATCTGCTGGCAAAATCCATTCGAGTTCATCGTTGCTAAAGTTCGGATCTATTTGAGAAGTTTTTGCATTTTTTGCTAGCACAGTTTCTGGTTTAATCAGATCAGCTTCAACGAGCCGAGGATTTACTCGGCATTGCAGTACCATTTGATAATATTTACCAGTTTCATTATGCTTCCAAGGTTTTGCATAGCGAGGATGTGCCGCATATTCTATACTGGGCGATAAATAGATATTAAGACCTTCACGATAGCATCCTGTAGAGCCTCGAAGCCCATTATTGAGAATATCAGAAGCCACAGCACTCTTTGTTCCATGATAAGCAACATGATAATCACTATAACGTTGATCAAACTCTTCCTGTGTATTTGTTACCTTGATGGCAAAACGTGTCCAGCCGACTGGACAATAGTATGGTTTGCCAGCTCTATCCAAAGGGTCATTCCAGTAGGTGCCGCCTGGTTGACGGCTGTACACTCGATTCCATTGGGGGAAAAGTACTTGATCTTTTACATTGAGGCCAAAACGACCCAGGGTAATCATTGTTATTTTACCGTGTCGACTCAAATTCCCAAGTTCAGCATCATCTACCGAAAAATAGTTCATCACAAGTTTTCCATAGGGAGGGCAAACAATTCCAAACACAACTGCACTACCGAACTCCACTCGTTCTATGATAAATGCATCACGAGGAATATTTAATTGTTTACAAATATGTGCAATATAGTCTGCCTTTTTTGTCGCACCATTATTGAGTCCTTTCCAACTTTCAAAATCATCATCAAGAGTGACCGTGATAGGCAATGGTTGAGCTACAAAAGTCCACGTATATATTAAAAAGATCAACGTAACAAAAAGTGTTGAAAATAATTTCTCGCAACTTACTAGATGTATCATCGATACTGCCAAAAATAACCGGTGCAATACTAGTATGTCTATCTGTATTGGTTTTTCGTCGATCACGATCATATTTGTGTTCATCCATAAAACATTTTTCAAAAGCGTCCTGATTCTTTTTAGAGCTGCTAACAGCCAATATACGCAATGTAGTAACCAATTGAAGAATATCGCGATGAGCTCGTGCCTGATCAGCATGATGTCTTCGTTTGAGTTTATGTCGTATTCTCTCATTTTTTTCATATTGTTTTTTGTCATATGAATGAATCTTTTGTGAAAACTCATCGTACAATATATCTATCCAAAACTGTTGTTCACGGCGCCATGTACTGGATTGAATATATCGCCTACAAATATAGAGTATGTATGAATCGGATAACAGTGCAAAACCGTGAGTTAAAATTGAAATTCTATGTTCTTTTAAAATGCATGCTGATCGTACTTTTATTAATTTTGCCTATTGAAATATGATACTTAGCCGATTTTCTACGGTTTTGAAACCGATGGGAAACAAGGAAAACCTAAGAAGTCAACAAAATCTATGAAGCCAAGATAAATTTCGACAATCTTAACCGAATATATCATGTTGTCTTGTCTGTCTCATACGTCATTTTGAGAATCATACATAGTACTGAGCACTGGTTTACTCTTTCATCGTCTCCTCACGTTTCAATTTGTCTGCATGCTCATTTTGCAGTGAATTTTTCATATTTTGACATTTTCGCATCATTATAAAAGTGGAAATTCAGTTGTCCAAACTTAGAAAATTAGCTACTAGTGCAAGTTACCAGTGAGTTTTTGAAAGTTTTGCTTTTTAATTGAATTTCTTCCACATATGTCCTAAAATATTGTTGCGAATAGTCAAAGACACAAAACAAAGTATATTAGAATAAAATTTTCTGCAAAATGGTAAAATGCAGCCAACTCATTTTTGAGTTTGTCAGAAAAGATCATTAGTTTCACAAATTTCATATTACTAGTGCAAAATAACCCTCCGTCGCAACTCCAGTATGTCAGAAAATATATCAGTCTATACATTCAATGCTCTCATAACAAGATAACTTTATGTTGTTCTTACTCCGAATGTTTGTAGCCATTGTTGATGGTCTTGGACATGAACTCAAGTATTATTGTTAATGTCTCTGATTGGTCACCTTGCAATGAATGAATCTCATGATCAACCTTTTCCTTTTGCGTTTTAATATCGTCGTAATATCGCCTATTTGCATTTTGAATGACTTGATTTTGGCTTATCAACTCAATAATCGATTTGACTTGTGCGTTTGATATGCCTTCTCGATCGAGTCTTCTATAATATTCAAACCAATTGCATTACATAGACGAATCAAAAATACATTTGCATACAACATACAGAAAACCATTAAACTGCATTTGACAAAAGAGAATTCAAAAGATTGTAAATGAAATTTTAGAAAAATCAGTTTTTCTCGAGGACTCAACCGTTTCGAATAAAGATGAAAAGACTCGATTATTCATGACCTATCTACAGTTTATTCTGGGAGTTGAAATTTAGCGAAATGAGTTACTCATAAACTTACCTGCTCTGACTCATATTTTCATGTACAGCTGCTGTCACTGATTCGCGCAAGATCGGTATGAAATATGATGGTGGCCATGAAGATCTTTGAGACAGATTCAACTCAGAGTGAATAGTGACAAGTAGCATGACCAATCTATTGGTTTGATCATTATCGAACGTTTGACTGATGTTTCGATCGATGGATTGGATTGATGAAGATAAAATATGATTGAGTTCCCTCTGAATTTTATCATAAGCAATGTTGACAGCAACTTGAAGATTATTAAACGCCCTTTTGGCAAGACGAATCAATTGATCTTGTAATTGATGTCTTCTATCGTCTGCATTTTTATTCTCATGTACAGCCGTATGATAAGCATTCTCTTGTTCGACTCGTGTAGATTCAAGGGCAATTCTTTGCTCTGCGACGAAACATTGTAAACAGAAGGCGAGATCGTCATCCATCGTTATTTATAACACAGTGAAATGCATAAATGACATTCAAAAATGTTGTTTGTCTTTTTTCATTCAAAGGAAGTAACAAAAAAGTTTTTTTTTACTCTTTTATTTATGGGGTAATGGCAAAAAGTAAGCATTATTCCATTTTCGCCGATTCCAAGATTGCCAACTACTTTTTTTCACCGAAAATTACCAAGTCAAATATGAATCATTCTATATTTAAGAGTTTTTCTAATTTAATAGATTTATTAACAAACTCATTAATTACCAACTGAGTTGGTAATCATCTGACTTGGTAACCAGAATGTGGGGTGTGAGTTTGAGTGTGGATGTAGGTGGTTGTGAGGTAAGTGTGGGGTGTTGAGTGTCGATGTGTGGGTGTGAACGAAGACAAGACCAACACCCACATCCACATCCCACACCCTGGTTACCAACTCAGACGGTTACTAACCCAGTTGGTAATTAATGAGTTTGTTGATAAACCTATTAAATTGGAAAAACTCTTAAATATAGAATGATTCACATTTGACTTGGTAATTTTCGGTCAAAAAAAGTAGTCGGCGATATTGGAATTGGCGAAAATGGAAGTTACCAAAAGTAGTACATGAACTTGTTTTTGTTTTCAACTTTATTGATTTGAATTTTTTTCTTCGATTAAAAAACTTTTCTAAGACCAAATAATGTACACTTTTTACAGTTTCTTATTTTTTTATGAATAAAATAAACAGATGTATGAATATGATAAACTTTTCGATTTTCTTCATGAAACGATACTTTTTCGTCTCAATCATTGAACGTCAAAGAAAAGATCATTCCATGTTAACACTTAAATGAAGCCAGATATTTTGTACCTAGTATGACACTAGATTTCTAACTAACTACTTGCCTCTAATAGTCTGAACTTTGAAGATGCATTTCTTAACAAGAATATTTATAGTTGAAATATTTGATTGAATGATAAGTTAGGTTTCATTCGTTTTTCATCATTGAAATAAATGTATAACTTTTTCCTTTAAAAAAAATGCATATACGAAAATCGTTGCAATGACAACAACATCTAATTGGGTCAAAAAAAGTTTTGAAACTACACTGTAAAAAAGAACCGCAGAATAATAAACACTTACAAGATTTATGAAAGTGCAACGTATTATAAAAAAAAAACTTTTCTATTGTTTATGAAATCTTCGTAAACCCTTTCATAGACCCTTTTTTAAAGAGTATATGGACAGGTTTATCACCGTCAAATGACATTTGTGAAAGGTTTATGCAATCGTTTACAATACTCATAAACTTTGCAAAGGGCTCATAAGTATCAGCAAATGCACTGAAATTACATGGAAGAGTATATAGCGCGCTATAAAGAAGCGTTGATGTGATCACTCTTAAAGCACCAAAACGATTGAATATTCGATAGCATACAGTCAATGTGCAAGTACAGTAAAACAAAAGACTCTAGCGCAAACTAAACCATTTCATTCTGCCAGTCTACAAAGATGTTGGAAAATTACCGTAACACGTAAATGACAAAAGAATAGTACAAGGCCACGTCCACGGAGTTTCTACCACAAAAAACACAAGTGTCTTTAAATTAATCAAAACATATTCGATCTTGTAGAGTTCGATGAGTTGTATCTATGGTAAAAATTCCAGCTTACAAAACCGTTCCTGTAGGGAGATATAAGGTATACAAGTTTAGCTGGAAATTGACATAATTGATGAAAAATGAAAATTTACTAAACTTCGTGGTCTTCACTTT